TGAGTTAGCCTTCGTGTTTCTTTATGTTTTATATATCATTTCGTAGCTGGTAAAATTCTCTATCGAATGGTATATAATAGTTGGGGTTTTGTTTGAGTATGATAGGAAAAGCTTTTTACGAAAGTGGGGATGGGTCGATTTTCGCATAGGAAGTCATAGGAAAAAATGAGTATTTTTGAAATAACTCAGAAACTGCTCGGCCAATCATGCTCATCTTCGAACTCGACCGAGACATTATTAAGACTGAACTGTGTAGAAAATTTCATCGTGATTGAACTCTCCTTTCAAAAATTATCGTGTAAACGGTCTGCCGGCCGGCCGGCCGGACACACTGACTGATTCTAGAGTGTACTCACTTTTTGAGTACACAAAAAGGATTCGTATCGATGAGCCTCTGTAGACGAGCTATAACTATTTTGCTGATTTTTCAAATGACTCATGTATAAATTGAAAAATCAAATAATGAAGTTTCTACCTGAAATATCATCCATATATAGATGTAATAATGATCATTGAAATATTCCTTTTTATATATATTTAATTTTTAAGTAAACTTAATTTTTGTTAGATTTTTTATTGGAAATCCAGTGTCTCGACAAATAAAGATTCTTTTCCAGTGAAACTTTCGAAATATTCTAAGAATGATTAGACCTATCTAGATGTTGAATTTCAATTGGAAATTTTATTATTTGATATTTCCGTTAATAAATAAAATTGGATTGAAAATTTCATGTCTCATCGAGATCTCATCGTCAATTCAACATTATTTCAAATGATGGATTACAGTATAGATAATTTCTTCGTAAGAGAGAATATAGCTGGAAAATGAGATTTGGATGAAATATGAATATATTCCTATAATTTTCCTTCATCATTCTATTTTACCGGTAAAATTAATATTTTAAAATGCGATCTGAAGTTTTGTTGACATAAAAGTTTTAGTCAGACTACTTTGTCTACAGAGTTTTAAAATTTCGATATAAATAATTTCTGCAAAGAAAGACGTTTTTTATGTATATTGTGTTACACATGGATAATTATAAAAAACAAAAAGATCTTATCTCAAAGATAATCCATTCGAAAATTCTGAAGCTTTTTAATGAAACTAGTTTTATTGAAACATTGTTGATGCACAAATTTGTTTTAGTGATACTATTTTAAAGTTTGATTTTTATCGAAAAAGTGAAGTATTGCATGAAAATTATCCTTAAAAGTGAATATCTCAAGTAAACCGTAACTTGCATCTATATCTTCGAAGTTTTTTCTGGTTTATATTTATTTTATTGTAAGACTAAATTTGAGATGAAAAAAAATTCTCTGATCTGAAAATTTTCATTCGTTAGATAATCTGTTAGTAACGTTTGTCTTTTAAAAATAAAATCAATTAAATGACAATTTAATAATCTGAATGAAAATGAGCAAATAACTAACAATTGTTTCGTATAAAAGTTATATTTAAAAAAAACAAAAAGAATATTTTTTAAAACATATTTTATAAAAAATCTAAAACGATTACGAAGGAAAATTTCATGATAAAAAATGAAAATATCGTTTAAAGTTTATTTGTTAAATTTGTGAAACTATAAAAAAATATATTTATTCATTAGTTTAAATTTTTTAATGAAAATTTCTCAATGATTATCTATCATGAATTGAATATGTTTCTTACAATGTCACATCTATCTATTTTAACGATTGAAAATTAATCATTTTATTTTTCGTGTTTCTCAAATTCTACCATTGTTTTATAATTATTTAATATAGTATGTTTGTCATATTTCAAGTTTCGTCTTCGTATATTTATAATAAAATAATTAAATTTTACAATTGGAATTTTTTGTTGTTGACAAGAATTTCTTACGACAAAGTTAAAATCGTCGATTGAGACGCATATCAATATTTTCATCGTATCTCTGCTGTTTACGCTCATTTACAGTTCAGCATGACATATAAACGGATTGTATACGATATCCTATTTTAATCCAATAGGTTTATATAAGAGCCGGCATTTCATAGTCATATGATCATATTAGTGATTGTAGAATTCTTGCCACAATACAATTTGTTTACATATCGTATGTAAATCAACCGTAAACAGTCGTATATGAAACGTATCATTCAAGCTCAGTATTTAAAATAATAAATAGATGACAGAGTGATAACGTTGATTATTGACTGTTGAGACCATATTTAACAGTAATTGGAAATATTAAAAAAAAAGAATAAAACTATCGAATTGTTATGATTACTATACTGTTTTCGTCTTAATATGAAAGATAGTCTAAATAATAAATTGTCAAGGTTATTGATCTTTTTATCTCTTTGTTAGACTATGTTTAACTATATTCGAAGATATATGTATATATATATATATATATATATATTATTATTATAAAGAAAATATTTCTTGGTAAAATCTTATGTAATGTATTGTTTTATTTTATTTGTTAAAGAGTTAATTATGAATATTTTATATCGAAATAAAATGAAACAATTTAATAAAATAATTAATTTAATAAATTAAAAAAGCCAATTGTATTTGTCTGACATTGTTGTATAAATATCTTGAAAGTATTAATGTTGTTATATTGTGAATTTGACATAATATATATATATATATAAATAGAATTATTTTTATTTGACATGAAAATAATTTATAATTATATTTGATATTTATTTCAATAAAATTTGTTAAATAGAAATAAAATAAAATGATTTCTATATATAATAGATAATAACTAAATAGTAGTTGACTATGAAAGATTGATCTTTGACATATATTAATGTTAGGAAATTAATAAAAAAAAAATTGTTTTGATTGATAAGGAAAAAAAAACCATTAAGTTTTTCTCAATATAACATCAATATATACTTGATATTGTCATGATGAATAGATATTGATATGAAGACACTATTAAAAAAATTTCCTTATAACTAAAAAACGAAAAAAAACCGAAAACAAAGATTTATTCTTCGAAAATATTCATTTGATTTTTTTCTTTTTTCGATTGAAAATAGACTTGATATTGATTTGAATAAAATAATTTAACTAGTTTTTTTCAAATAAAAAATATTAAAAAATAAAAGATTTATTTAAATAATTAATTAATAAAACAAAAACTAAATAGAACAATTTTTATTATCAAAAATCAGAATATTTTCATGACATGACCTATATTACGAAAACAAAGAAAAAACCTAAGAAAAAAAACGGAAAATAAAATAAATGAATCTATTTTGAATACAACACGTTAACTAAAGTCCATTGTATATTAAACAAAAAGGTATTATTGCAATTGTAAGCAAGTGACGATAAAAAATGACAACTTTTCTTAACAAATAGGTATATTCATTGATTGTTAATGCACAAACATGTTTTTCATGTCAGAGTTAGATAGAAAAAATTTTCTCTTCTATTATTTGTTTTTTTTTTTTCTTTCTTTTAAATGTCAATACGGACGAACAAACGAATAAAACGACTGTCTTTCATTTTTTTTGTTCCTTTGTCTTTATCAATCAAAATAAAAGTTTAATGAAATATTTATTTATTTTCATTTATAAATATTAAATAATTAAACATATTCAACAAACATTTCAAAGAACAAAAAAGAGATTTAAAATAATGATATACAAATTTTTATAAAACAAAAAAAAAAACATTTATTTTCACTAAAACAATAAAAAATCTAATTGAATTGAAATGAATGTTAAATAAAAATAAAAATAAAAATAAAAATTTCTATTAAATAAAGAATATTTATCAAATCCATTGATAATTTCTTTTCGAATATAAATAACCATATTGCTCAATAATCAATTGACTTGCAAATTTCTTTTTATGTCTCGATGTCTCGATGTCTCTTTCTGTCTCTTGTTTGTTGAATAGATCAAGACGATACTAGAATCTACTCTCTCAATGATTATTATCATCGGAACAAACACATTTAGAATCTATTATCTATCTGATATGTTTTCTTTTTCTTTTTCTTTTTCTTTTTCTTTTTTTCACAATGTCTGATCAGTTTTTTCTTTTAAAATATGTGTTATCTATCGGAAGGCGTCTCGAAATGACAGTTAATTCATTATTAATTTGGCACTTTGTATGTAAATAAATAATGAGCTTTGCTCTCTTTCTCATTCGTCCTTTTTATTCGGCGTTTTTTTTTTCTTCTTTTTTTTTTCGATTATCTATTGCTCCTTTGTGTGTAATAG